TTGCAGTTTTTGGCCGGGGCTGGGTTTGAACCTGCCATGTCCGGCATATGGGACCAGCACCCTATTCCTTTGAGCCACAGGCACCGCCCCTGTCATCCATTGTTTAGCAGGCCTGGGCTGGGTTTGAACCTGCCAGCCTCGGTGTATGTGGCCGGTGCCCTAACCACTGAGCTATGGGTGTGGAGCCTTTTGACTAGACATTTTAAAAGTAAAATATATCTATCATCTTTTACAACATCTGCGCATTGTAGGAGCTCAATAAATAATTTAGAAATGATATTACTAAAGATCAAATGCTCTTTCCCTTTCCAAGAAAAAATAAGTTAAAACTTTACCTCATCCTCATCATTCTGAGCCAAATAATTTAAATACAAAACACCACCACCTTTAAAATTCCTTACTGCGAACAAGGTCTATGAAAAGTAAAGATCAAAGAATAGGCTTGGCACCTGTAGCTGAAGCAGCAAAGGCGCTGCCACATACATCAGAGCTGGTGGGTTCAAACCCAGCCCAGGCCTGCCAAACAATAATGACAACTACAATCAAAAAATAGCCAGGTGTTGTGGCAGGTGCCTGTAGTTCCAGTTACTTGGGAGCCTGAGGCAAGAGACTCATTTAAGCTCAGGAGTTGGAGGTTGCTGTGAGCTGTGGCACCAGAGCACTCTACCCACGGTGATAGCTTTAGGCTCTGTCTCAACAAAAAAAGATCAAAGAATAACAAACAGAAGCAGCAATGGTCATGACCAAAAATAACTTTTTTTAACTTAAAAATATTTTCAATTTGATAGAGTCAGTATGTGGACACTAGGGAAAACAACAGTATAAAGCAGACATTTAAAAAAACTTCTATTTCAATATACAACATAGTAAATAATGAAGAAATTGAATTATCCATTGCACCAGAGAACAGTTACTTTCTGTCCTCTTTAAGATTTATAATTTGAAAATATGCTATATTCTTCACATTCTGAAAAACGCTTTCTTTTCCTTCCTGCCTCCCTTCATTTTTTGAGACAGAGTCTCACTTTGTCACCTTTGGTAGAGTACCATGGCGTCAGCCTAGCTCACAGCAACCTGAAACAGCTGGGCTCAAGTGATCCTCCAGCCTCTGCCTCCTGAGTAGCCGGCACTACAGATACCTGTCATGATGCCTGGCTATTTCTCTATTTTCAGTAGAGACAGGGATCTCATTCTTGCTTCGGGTGGCCTTGAACTCCTGCAGCTCAAGCAATTCGCCTACCTCAGCCTCCACAGTGCTAGGATTAGGCATGAGCCACCATGCGTGGCCCTGAAGAAAGCTTTTAAAGAGCAGAAAAAGTTACTTTTCTTCAGCTGCATTTAGGAAATCATAATTCTTATTACATTTATTTAACATGTAGTAGGGGTAAAAACTCAAAACAGATAGATATGCTGAGCCAAAGGAAAACATGTTCTGAGCTAATAGCAAAATCATTAAAAAAAGAAACAAAGACAACGTTTAAATTCTATACCTTATGTTTCCTTTCCTTCCTTTCTTTATAAGCCCATTATTTAGCTAAACAAATTACGTCAATGCATATAAAAGCTATTGTGTGTCTAATCTGCACCTAGAATATTCATATAGAAAAATTATTTAGAAAAAGACTACTGGACTCAAACAAATTATTCAGTGAAAAGGTTTTTATACCTACACCTCCTACATCCTGTTTTGCTAAAATAACACTACCAATCCTTAGATTAAAAACTTAAAGAGGCTCAGCGCCTGTGGCTCAAGTGGCTAAGGCGCCAGCCACATACACCTAAGGTGGCGGGTTCGAATCCAGCCTGGGCCCGCCAAACAACAATAATGGCTGCAACCAAAAAATAGCTGGGCGTTGTGGCGGGCGCCTGTGGTCCCAGCTACTTGGGAGGCTGAGACAGGAGACTCGCTTGAGCCCAGGAGTTGGAGGTTGCTGTGAGCAGTGAAGCCACGGCACTCTACCCAGGGGGACAGCTTGAGGCTCTGTATCCCAAAAAAAAAAAACAAAAAAAAACTTAAAGAATAAAGCAAAGGAAAAAGATGATTTTTTTCTGATAAAAAGAAAACAAAGATGATACAGATTTGAAAAGCTTGAACGTAGTAAAGCTTTCTAAAAGAATCTATGAGTAATTTGAACTCTGAAAATTTTAAAGCAAATAATACCATGTACCCAAAACAACTAATCTAGAACTAAAATTCAGATGATGTCAACTAATGGTTCATCATGATAAAAAAGAGGGGTAATTAACATAATGTAGGAAGGTAAAGTATTTATAAATTAGATAATGATTATAAAGGAATAAGGTAAACCTTCAGAGAAATGGCCTCTAAAATGTGACAGATGCATTTAAATTTGTCTAGACAAATAATACCAGTTGTTTATTAACTATGAAAGCCCAGATACTTCGCTTTCAAGCTCATGCCTCTAAGAGAAATACTGAAGAGGGCAGCGGCTGTGGTTCAGAGGGGTAGGGTGCCGGCCCCATATGCCAGAGATGGTGGGTTCAAACCCCACCCTAGCCAAAACTGCATAAAAAAAAGAAATACTGAAGAAACCCTTACCTACTTCTGAACCTCCAGATGTATAAATTTTGCCTTCTGCAGCACAAGCAGCAAGGCTGTCTCTAGGTGTTGGAGGGCCCAGTTTGGAATACCAGCTATCCTTCACTACATTATAGCAGTCCATCCGTTTTATAGGGAAAAGCTGAGAGCCACCCAAAATGTACACTACGTTGTCCCAAAAAACACATGCTGCATCTCTTCGCTTTTCAAAGGGACAGCGGATGTCTGTCCAGCTATAATCCTGTAACAGGAAAAGAAGGGACGCTTTTAGTAAGAGACAAATATAATTGAAAAGGACAAAGCAAAGATGTAATCAAGAAAATACAAAATACAAGAATGTGTTAATTTATTAGAATACACATACAAATGTTTGGCTTGAGACTTTTCCCAATTTAATCTTGTGTGATTCCTTCAGGATGTTGGTTAGAGGGGGCCGATGCAAGAAGGCACGTGACTGCTTTGAGTCTTTTCTGACTCTAAAATAAACTTCAGAACATTTGAATATATTATCACCACACTTTTTTCCCTTCTGTAACTGAAGATAAAAATACAAGAAAATTCTAAAATATGATGCTTTATTATTTTTAAAAAGCTTCTTTTCCATACTACCTCTCTAGATTTAACCAGGAAGAAATAGAACTCTTAAAACAGGCCAATATCAAGCTCTGAAACTGCAACAACAATAAAGAACTTCCAACAATGACAACAAAAAGAAGTTCTGGACCCAACAGTTTTATACTAGGATTCTACCAAACCTTCAAAGAGCTTGTACTATATTGCAGAACCTATTCCAAAATATTGAGCAGGATGGCACTCTTCTTAACTCCTTTTATAAAGCAATTATCATCCTAATACCAAAACCAGGAAAGGAGCCAACAAAAAAACTACAGACCAATTTTGTCAATGAATATTGATGCAAAAATACTCAATAAAATTCTAGCAAATATAATATAACTACACTTTGAAAGAAATTACACACCATGATCAGGTAGGCTTTATCCCAGGGAAGCAAGTCTGGTTCAACATATACAAATCCATAAATGTAATTCACCACATAAATAGAAGCAAAAATGAAGACCATGTGATCCTCTTAAAAGATGCAGAAAAAAGTATTTGAAAAATTCTGCATCCACTTCTAGCAGAAAAATTCTGCATCCTTTTCTAGTAGACAAGCAAGGATGTCTACTATCACCACTACTACTCAACATAATGCTGGAAGTCCTAGCCAATGCAATCAGGCAAGAGAAGGATATCAAGGGTATCCAAATGGGGATAGAGGAAGTTGTACTTTCATTCTTTGCTGAGGATACAATCCTATATGTCAAAAACCCCAGGGACTCAACCATAAGACTCTTGGAAGTAATTAAGAAATACAGTAACATCTCAGGATATAAAATTGATGTCCACAAATCAGTAGCCTTCATATACGCAAACAACAATCAAGCTGAGAACCAAACCAAAGACAAAACACCCCTCACAGTAACTTCAAAATAAAGTGAAATACCTTAGAATATACTTAACAAAAGATGTCAAGGATCTCAACAAAGAGAACTACAGAACCCTGAGAAACAACCCAATTACCCATCTACCCATGGATAGATTAATGAACTGTCGTATTCATATATATATGATGGAATATGGTATGTATATATCATGGAATATGGTATATGTGTGTGTGTATATGGAATATGGTGTGTGTGTGTGTATATGGAATATGGTATCTATTCAGACATAAGAAAAGATGGGATGAAGACTTTGCATCTTTTGTACTAACCTGGATAGATCTGGAGAACATTGTCCTTAGTAAATATCTCAAGAATGGAAAAGCAAGCATCCCATGTACTCAACACTAAATTGAAACTAGTAGATTAACAACTACAAGTCCTCATGAGAGAAAAACACAAATTCAAGTAGGGAGGAGAAAAGTGGGGGGGGGGAGGGGCAGTAAGCTCCCACCTCTTGGGTGAAGGACACAACTAAAACTCAGACACCACCTAACAAATGGATACAATGTAACCCAATCATATGTACTCTTATATTAATCCCTTTTCAAATGTAAGTATCTTACATTCCTTGTCAAATATGCAGGATGATATAAAAAATTAATGGATAATGTACATCTTAAAATGCCATTTCCTACTAAGCCAGAAGGTATTTTGGACTTCTATGAGATATTTTCTCATAGTAGAGATAGAAAATTCAGTGACGTCAATGTAGTGGCTGTACTCTTAAAACTGTGATCTTAGGAGATAGAGTAATCCATTCTGAGAAGTATGGATACTCCCCTTTTCTCCCCAGTGATCAGAAACAAGCACCTATGAGTACCTCACAGTAAGGGCTGTTCATAGCACCACTCTGTTCCCTATAATTAAGGAAGAGTCTAGAAAGATAACATTCTTGAGAATATCTTTTGGTGGCACCCAAGAATGTATGTATGCAGGGGAATGTTCCCAATGTTATACTTCTTAGACCCTTCCCTTTTTTTTTGAGAAAAGGAAGCTATAGTATTTTTGCTGTCTTCTAAATTGTAAATAATCAGGGTCACACGAGAATCCAAACAATTCTCAGTATTACTGAACAAAGCTCTGTAGGTTGAGTTAGTTCCCTCTGAGAACATTAGACTGATAACTATCATACTAGTATCCAGGGTTTTATGCCTTCACTGGACTAGATCAAAGCATCACAGTAAACCAGGCAGAGCTTCTAATATAGGAAACTTTGCCTACTGACAAAAATAAACATTTTGCTTTTTAGGTGACCAGGAAAACAGTCTCAATTGCCTAGCACTTTATTCTTAAATTAGGATCTTTGTCCCCCTGGTTTACTCTGTGGTATACCTATCGGTAGCAGACAAAACTATACAAGAAACCTAACGTCTCCCTGAAACTCAGTTCTACTAAATAGACACTGAAAAACTGGGGGAAAATAGTTTTACTTGCTCTCTTAAAGAAACTTAATAGCACAGAATCAAAGAAAAAGATAATTACCGAATTCTATAGGGAACAATCCCCCAAAGATAAACTAAATGATTGTCTTACATACTCTGCAAGTCTATTAATAATTCCTATTTGACCAAGTATATTTAGCAGAGAAATAAAATTTCACTAACTCAGTGAATCCCCAAAATCCTGCACTCTTAGACCTAATTTATTTGGCATTTATTAGCTATATAGGAGCTGTTCCATAATTTCAAAAGACATTCTCAAGAATATTATCTTTCCAGGCTCTTCTTTAATTATAGAATGAGAAAGTTCTTTTAAATAATCTCCAAGATTTGCTACCCTTTTTTTTTTGCTACTCTTGAAATTAAAAATAACTACCTTATGTAGGGGTCTGGTATTAAAAAGAAATATACTGCTTTCTTTGAGCTAGATATGCATAAACATTTAGATACTAGGCTACAAGGTTTCAAAGAATGAAATAATTTCAAAAAGTTTAATAACAGAATAGTTCTAACTCTCTAAAACCACTCGGGTAAGAATAGGGAATAAGTAGGTGCTCGTATATACCTGTTCTATAGGGCTTGGTTATGCTTCCTTCAGATTTAAGAATTAAAACAAACTGCTCTTTTGGAAATATAAATGCAAAGGAAAAAAATAATTAGCTTGCCTGGGAATATGAGAGGGAAAGAGAAAATAAAAGAGAGAGGAAGTGGAAAAGAGAAAGACAGAGAGAAAGAGGAAGAGGCACATACTTCTACCTACTTGCAATTTGGGCTCTAATTTCTCAAGAAATCCTCAAGTTCTTTAATATTTAATGACACTTCTAATAACTGCCAATGGTCATTGTACATGTCAGACACTAAGCTTGATAAATACTAACTATATATAATATTTTGCTTCATAGTTCATCTTCTAGGTCAGTGATTTTGAACTGTGTGCCACAAAAATTTTTAAAGACCATTAATTTATTTTTGAAAGAAGTTCAAAGCACAGTATATTCTTTATTCACTCTTTTTTTGGGGATCAACATAATTTAAGGGTTCCCCAGAAGTTTAATTATACATTCAAGTGTGCTATGTGATAAAAGAGGTTGAAAAACACTGTTGTAAGCAGATAAGTAAAATGGCCTTTGCAAGAATTTCTACTTAGAATGCAAAATAGACTTTTCATGGGAAAACTAGAAAGCTTGGAAAAACTTGGGTGGAAGAATTTCTTATGTTTTGATACATCACCCATAAATGTATACACATGGTACACATGCAGACACATCCGTGTATAAAGACCTGTATTTCCTGGATGTAATCAGCCTTTCTTGCCTCTGCTGTGATGTGCCACATGCTATAGTGTTTTCAAGCTTAAGACCCTTTCTGTGGGTTTTCCTGACTTCCTCCTTCTGAAATCCAACAGTTCTGAAGTCTAGACCTGACTCATTATATCTTGCCCTGTGTGATTTTCTAGCTGTAGTGCCAAAGTTCTTAAGACTCTCAGGAGAGGGAAGGCTTCTTAAGGTGAGCAGTCGTAAATATGTTTTCTTGGCTCGGCGCCTGTGGCTCAAGCGGCTAAGGCGCCAGCCACATACACCTAAGGTGGCAGGTTCGAATCCCCAGCCCGGGCCCGCCAAACAACAATGACGGCTGCAACCAAAAAATGGCCAGGCGTTGTGGTGGGCGCCTGTGGTCCCAGCTACTTGGGAGGCGGAGGCAGGAGACTCGCTTGAGCCCAGGAGTTGGAGGTTGCTGTGAGCGTGATGCCATGGCACTCTACCCAGGGGGATAGCTTGAGGCTCCGTCTCAAAAAAAAAAAAAAAAAAAAATATGTTTTCTTAAAGCCTGAAGACAGAAACATTAGCCCTTTTCCTTTAAAGACAAATTTTTTTTTTTTTTTTTTTGAGACAGAGCCTCAAGCTGTCCCCCTGGGTAGAGTGCTATGACTTCACTGCTCACAGCAACCTCCAACTCCTGGGCTCAAGCGAGTCTCCTGCCTCCGCCTCCCAAGTAGCTGGGACCACAGGCGCCCGCCACAACGCCCGGCTATTTTTTTGTTTGCGGTGTTCTTTTTTTTTTGGGGGTCCGGGCTGGGGATTCGAACCCGCCACTTTAGGTGTACGTGGCTGGCGCCTTAGCCGGTTGAGCTATAGGCGCCGAGCCTAAAGACAAATTTTATACAATGAGGTCTGAAAACGGATGGATCCTCAAAGAATAACAAACACTGTAGATATTGATCTTAAAAAATCAAGGCAACCACAATCCAAAATGAAGAAATATTTTTTAAGACTTGAGAACTTTATTTCTAATCATTT